TACTCATCCACATTTCCATCTGAATATAATAGATGTTAAGTTTGTCAAGCAGCCTGCAGTAGAGTCAAGTTACTCATTTAAGTGAAATCAAAACATGCTAATAATGTAATTGAACATTACTTCTTTGCAGCGGAGGTCAGCCCCAAAGGTGTTGTGATATACAACGTTCTGAAGAGAATGGTAGCATGTAGTAGAAATTTCATCTTAAAGTAGTGCCAATGGTGCAGAGGTATTGGGAATGATACTTGTAGCAGCGACATTCTGAGGTGATGGAAGAGGAAGAAGTCGTGAAACTGATAATCTATATTTCTTTAAGCAATTAACAAAAGACAACGGTTCATCAAACAGTGGATATTTTCTTCCATGTGCTCAGTACATGTGGCGCCTCTGCTTTTGTGCTTGTCCAAGCCTTTAATCTAAATAAGTTTGAAGGGATAACAAAATCAGCTTGAGTACAGGCAGAACAATCCAAGAAGTTGTGTGTACTCTTTCTAGGAAAAACATAACAAAATTAGATATTACCTCAACATTGCTCTCAACATTTTCGAGTAAATCTAGAATAAAGCCTGTAGATTTGATGGGGAAGTCTTCGGTTATTTGAACGGTGGGTCTTCTAGATATCCAACGGTATCTCTGTAAGTATCTTACACACTTGGGTGCAAGGCAGTAGGGTATCTTGCTAAGTTCAAACTGAAATTCCCTGTCTCCAACAAAAAAATAATCATATATCTTCTCAAGACAATTTTTGAACTTGTAAATAAGCAATCTCGGATTTGCCAGCTAATGCCAGAACACAAACCAAACTCAAATTATATTCTAAGATATAGTACAATGGATAAAGTAAAGTCCAATAACTCCGATTTGCAAATATCAAGATATTATAGGTTGATAATTGTATTCAAATAAAATTAAGTTCCTTCAAATACTTGGGCCCGCGAGGCGCCATGCCTTGAGAACCCCCCACCCACCCACCCCCCTCGGGCCCGCGAGGCGCCATGCCTTGAGAACCCCCTCCCCCCCAACCCCTCCACCCCCCTGGGTCCTCTACTTCATCACATCCAGTTCCAACATTGTGAAAATCTGAATCTGGAAAAGTAATTAACAAACATTGAACAGGTTACTGATCTATTATTTGATTCACTTACAGTATTAGCCAATCATGGATTTATCCAAATAATACTTTTACTTGTACCAATTCATAATAAAAAGAAGAGAAAGTTGGGTGTGTGTGTGTGTGTGGAGGGTTGTAAAGAGAATCAAGACAGAGAACTTTTTTGTGAACTATTGAATGAAAATGACCTTCCTGGAATTGATTACTCCAAAGCAACAATTAAACTTCTTTGCTTAGTTTGTGCTATATATATCTCATCAAACTTACTATAGACATAGAGCAAACATTTCTTGATTTCTTCTCTATCAACTCAACTAGTTTTGATCATTTTAGTGCAGAACCATGCCTCGAGGGCCCCCGTCCCGAAGCACCATACCTCGAGGGCCAACAGAAAGATGCACAAATTTGACATGTATGATGAATCTGGAGGCTTTAGGATGCACTTCAGACAAAGCAAGTATATAACTTCAAAGGAATAGACACAGATGTGAAGGATTGATTAAGCACCTGCTGTATGAAACCCTCAAGAGTTCCAAGCTTCCCCATTGCCATGGCCATTTGACCCATATAATTGGAAACATTCCAAGAGGAACCTGAAGGTCCAAGATACCCTGCGAGAGTCTCAGCCAAAGACTGCTGCAATACCTCCATTCCCTGGGATAAAGCATCCTCAACCTGTTGGGATGACTGTTGTAAGTTGTTGATCGCCAATAATTGTTGTTTGGTTAAAGGATCCAACTGATTAATGAGCAGCTGCAACTAAGTGGCAAGAAATTTAAGAACTTGCAGGAAAAATTAAGTCAATAATCTCTTCTCATCACCTTTTAACCCTTGAAAAAAAATATAGAAAAAAGAAAGGAAGGAAATGTCCTAGTTTTTTAAAAGAGAAGATAGGGGTGGATGGAGAGGTCTGACTTAAGCAAGACCATTGGAGAAACGGAAACATTAAGAGCTGTTTATTTTACTAACAAGAACAGCAATACAAAGACGATAAATAGGAGTTACAAGCATGTTGAAATAAGAGCATTGCATACAAAAGAAGATCTTCACCCATTGTTTATATTCTCCTTGATATAGGAAAATAAAAAAGGTCTACTTGCCAAACCAGATTTTAAAGGAGGACTTACTTCAAATTACAAAGTCATCATAATCAATCAAAATTTGGACTTATTGAAGTCAAGACTAGTCATAGTTCAAAACATCAAATGAAATAATGACTAGATATGGATTTGAGAGGTAACTGACTTACCCTGTTTTTATCTTCAGTATCGGCATCTGTTGATGTACTAGGACTGATATCAGCCATCGTGAACTATAGCCAACTTTGCGGATAATCAATTGAAATTGAAACACAAATCAGATGTAGTATCTTCTGTAAATCACCAAGGCAGAAGCATATGTCAATACTTATCAACTTGCAGACATCAAGTTGGTAAAAGATATTTGGGCAACAATATCAAAGCACAAAAGACTTGTCTTCAGCCAACTCTCCAAGGTGATGAACACATGAATATTTTATCATCTACCTTAATGTCATAACAATATTGCCAAAGTGTGAACTACAATACTTGAGAACTGCAGGCATGATTCATTCACAGGTACCAATTGTACACAGATTGTAGCGTCTATGTAGGTCACATAAATTTGGAAAAGGTACATACTCAATACGGGTATAACTTGTAAGTATCCAGTAAGGGAATGTGGATTTTTTTTCTAATCCAACTTAAGTTATCACACCATGGCTTAAAGTAAATAGTTAAGGCTAAATCTCCTTGTATTAGCAGCAAGAATTCAACACGAGCAAATAAGAGGGAGTTTTAAGCAAGACAAGGACTGAATTGAATTGCAATGGAAGGCAAAATATAAATCTAAACGTTAAAATTGTGCTTTAATCATACTAACCATCAAGAGTTGCAATATCAACAAGTGAATCTACAGTGAGCTGTGATGCTAAACTCAAGGGAAACATGGAACTTAAAATCAAGGTTTTCAACAGAAAACATAATGTGTAAATATAAGATTATTTTTCATATTTAGACTTGATTGACTTTTTATGAACCAAATTACGTCATTCTCAAATAACAAGGAAGTGTAATGGAGACTAGAATGGATCCATTGATTCTCTATTACTTAACAGGTAGGTGGAAAAAAGGGAAGAACAAAATTTGAGGAACTAACAGATTCAAAATCTAATCAGGACAAAGTAACTATATAACAAAAAATTAAAGAAAGATGCATGATAGTCTTACAAAGAGAAAAATAGGATCAGAGGCATAGAGGTTAAAACTAGTAAAATCAAACCATAAATTATAGAAGGGGGTGTATTGAAGTTGAACATGCCTTTAAATTTTGGGTCGAGAAAGGCCGTAGAACTAACAGATTCATGAATCAATTCAACAAGATAGAATTCATTAGTGAAAGAGTTTGAATCCAGATACCATGCAAGAACGCGTGCTTCAACTACAATTAATGTATGAATTCCCAACAAATTTCTAAATAAAGTGGAAGAAGGAAGACATATACAAATTAAACAGCTCAAGCTTAGCATAATTAGATCAGCAACATGTTTTGGAGATAGAGAAGGGGATGGTTACCTTTTCAGACAAAAGTGACATTGGAGGCCATAGGCGGCAAAAACCCTCGAGATTTCTCAAGCGAACAGTGAACAACGCTTTACAGATCTGCGAATTCAGAGGAAAAAGGATGGGAAGAAACGGATTTGGGGTGAGGGAGACAGCTATTAGCTGCTTATCCACCGGTTTTCGTACAAATTCCGGCGGATTTTAAAATGAGGGAGATGAGGTCTGTGTTAGCCGTTAGGAATTTGGGGTTATTTATAGGCTGGGTATCAAGTTTGCTTTTTGAAATTACTTTGGTTTTCTTTTGGGTTTAAATTGGATTTGGAGAAACTTGTGCTAAATAAATTAGATTGAAACAATTTTAAATCAATAAATTAGAAATGAGATAAATTATCCAAAAGCTAATCTAAAACTTGTCTTGAAAATAGATAGAAAAATATATTTTAACTTTTGTAAAACAAATTATTTTACCTCGTTTGAAATTGTGGAAGCTTGAATAATTAATCAAATTGTGGAGGTCAAAATTGGGTGTCAACAGTGAAGTCTCTACGATAAAATATTTATTTATAAAGAGTGATCATTATAAATAGTAACATGTCCACGTGGGCACATATATACCTTTAAAATACACTATTAAATAGTGCAGGAGATAATAGGTCCTGCCCAAAGTTTGGGATTGTTACAACAATTTCAATTAAAGTTCAGATATATTTTGAACCCTATTCCCAAAAGATACTCTAATATGTAACTTAATAAGTTACACTTTAATTTGATGTCTTCATATGCTTGTTAATGGTTTGGACAAAAAAGTCAAATTTGTTCTATGCTCTAAAAAAATACTCTCTAACGGTAAAGATAAGATTGTGTAAGCATCACCTTTTCAAATTCTATTTATGAAGTTACACTAGATATATTGTTATTAGTTGGACGGGATTGGAATACCCAAAAAGAAGAGAGGATATATCACCCATTAATATACAATGTAAGGGAATTTATAATGGACTAATACCAATGCAATTAAAACCTTATTACTTCAAATTTTATACTACTACTTAATAGTATACAACAATATAATTCCACTATTGTATATCTTCAACGTATACAACTTTGTGAATTAAATATCTTTGTATACGCGATACAAAACTAGAGGTATGTATACGATACAATTACGATACACACCAAGGGCCAAAAAAAAGGGCATACATGTATTTCTATAGATAGAGATTTTATAACAACGACTACGCCTCAATATCAAACGATACAATGAAAAAAAAAATCAATAGCTAAATAACAATGCAAAAATTGGAGGGTATTATAAGTGAATGTTCATTTCCATTAACCTAATTGGAACCATTAGATATGCTAAAATACAACAACAATTCATTGATCTCACACTATCTTAGTTAAATATGAAACAATGTTACAAATACCATTATATAAATATATGTATCCATTAAACCTCAGCAGCTCAGCTTTCCAACAAAGAGGTTTCTCATGTACAAATGTCACCAAGGGTCTTTCAGAGCAGTGTATTAGAAGAAAGTGGATGTTATTCCAGGGGACGAGCAAGCCAGAGAGAGCTCAGTGCTCGAAGCCGAGAGAAATAATCAGTGATAGCAAGAAGAGCATGAGCTGATTGGCGAGTTGTCAATATGTGATGCATTTGCTGCAATGTCTGTTGCCGAAGGTTATCAGCCTGAAAGGACATTTTAATTTATAGGTCAGCCTATTTAAGTGGGGAAAAAAAGACGAAAAAAACTTCAAACATGCACAAAATGTGGTTACACATTTCCAGCAGTGGCGGATTGTGATTTGAGAAAGTGAGTTCTGAAATATATATCTCACTCGCTCACACATGTGTATGGTACGACCCTGAAGCATGGGTTCTACAGAACCTGTGAATCCATGGATGAATTTGCTACTGATTCCCAATATGTTCCAAAGCAAATTTATGTAAACTATCATCACTAAATAGGAGTCAGCCTTAAAGCAATGAGTAGTAGACCCATAAAACACCTCCTCCTCCCCCTCCATCTTCGAAACAAATACACAAACCTAAGGCTTGGAAAAGAGAATCACCAAGATAGATCTTAAATGCAACTATTAACGCCAAATCCCAGATATACAGACATCAGAATCGATCAAATATTTCACAGCAGGAGTATGTACTACTCTTAAATTAACAAGGGAATAAGCACCTTATAGATTCTCCTCTGCTTAAGGCTCTCTGAAACTTTCAAATGACTAAAAAAATTGAATTCACAGAGCCACTATGAGGAGTGGTAAAACTTAAAATGTTCTCAGCCACCATTAAGCAGCAAATATGCAGCTGCAGATAGCTAGTCATTCTAGTAGACAGGAGAATATGTCATCAGTTGGCTAGGAGTACTGTGAGGTGAAATGGACACTTTTTGTTTGGCTGGGGCCTAAAGTTGTTCAAAGATGTTGTCTTGTGCAGTAAATAAGAATGAACGGTTCCTAGCTTCACTAGACCTAGAGTAAGCAAGAGTTCAATTCTAAGCAGGAACTTTGGTTTTCCTTCTCTTTCCCTCCCCAGGCCCTTCATCACTTGTACTTCAAAAGGTATTGATGATAATAACAATATGGTGCAGTAGACAAGTTTGTTTGGATTAAATTGGAATATGAAAATCTAACAAAGACATTTGGAATTTATTACTTCTCCCTTTTCCTTCTCCGAATGCATCTCTCATTTTCTTTTTTAAGGAGACAACTACGGAAGAGGCTAACCGACAGAAAGATGCACAAGTTTGACATGTCAGTGATGAATCTGCAGGTTTTTGGGAAGCATTTCAGACAAAGCAAGTATATAATTTCAAAGGAATAGACATAGATGTGAAGGATTGATTAAGCACCTGCCGTATGAAGCCCTCAAGAGTTCCAAGCTTCCCCATTGCCATGGCCATTTGACCCATATAATTTACAACATTCCCAGAGGAACCTGAAGGTCCAAGAGACCCTGCGAGAGTCTCAACCAAAGACTGCTGCAATGCCTTCATTCCCTGGGATAAAGCATCCTCAGCCTGTTGGGATGACTGTTGTAAGTTGTTGATTGCCAATAATTGTTGTTCGGTTAAAGGCTCCAACTGATTAATGAACAGCTGCAATCAAGTGGCAAGAAATTTAAGAACTTGCAGGAAAAATTTAGTCAATAATCTCTCCTCATCACCTTTAACCCTTGAACAGAAAAAGAGAAAAAAGAAAGGAAGAAAATGTCCAATGGATATTAGAATGTACCTAGTTTTGTAAAGGGGAAGATAGGGGTGGATGGAGAGGTCTGACAAAAGCAAGACCATCGGAGAAATGGAAACATTAAAAGCACACACACTATGAGAGGAGCTGCAACCCAATTAAAAGCTATATAAAAATTTGTAAATGTAATAGATGTTCAATATTGGTCTAATTGCATCTTTCTGATGCCATTTCTATAAAATCTATTACTTCATCATCAAAAGAAATATTGCAATATTAGTCGATGCAAAATTAATGTACAACTACAAAGTCTACATCACTTTAGCTGGATGTTCCTTTTCTGCTATCCCTTTTTCTTACTTTTTCTTTCTCAATAAAGACCAAGGTGCTCCATATTCTCAACATTTGTGTTGCATCTCAATGTTAACACTAAATCGAGAATGCAAATGAACGAAATAGATTCTAAACGATCAAAAAATAGTTTAAAAGGCTGAGAATATGTAAAAGATAGAAAATACTGAATCACAAAACTGTAGAGAGAAAAAAAGGGGAGGAAATTTCAAAAAATGATTATCGGTTGCCATACCCTTTGAGAATTTTTCCATTGCACCTATCTAAATTCTCATTGAATTCTTCGTAATCAATATGTGTGTACGTGCGAAATCCGTTAAAGGAAGAGCTCCAAAAGCTCACAACACCTACCCGCCTCAAACGGCCCCCGTCCCGAGGCAGGACCCATCCGCCTTAAGCCCCCCAGGGCCCTCGAGACACCATGCCTTGAGGACCCCCTGAGGCCCCTAGGCGCCATGCCTCGAGGACCCCCCGAGCCCCGGAGGCGCCATGCCTCAAGGACCCTCCCCCCCACCCTGTCCACCGAGCACCCGAGGCGCCATGCCTCGAGGACTCCCCCACTCCCCGGGCCCCCGAGGCGCCATGCCTGAAGGACCCCCCCCCCCCCCAAATCCTTGGGACCTCAAGGCTCCATACCTCGAGGACCCCCCAACCCCCGGGCCCCCGAGGTGCCATGCCTCAACCCCCCACCCCTCTGGCCCCCGAGGTGCCATGCCTCGAGGACCCCCCCACCCCCACCTCGCCTCGCGGCACCTGAGTCTGAATTATATTTTGAACTCTTAATTCATTATCATACAACTTTTAAGATTGGATTGCGTCTGAATTATATTATGAACTCTTAATTCATTATCATACAACTTTTAAGATTGGATTGATGTTTCGATAGGCAAGAGGTATAAAGTCGGATCATACAAAAAGATAATGAATTGTTTTAGAAAATAATAGATTTTCAAAGAGCTATTACATGACTGAGGAGTGGGTACTACATGATTGAGGCGTGGTGTCACTTTTGTGAAAATCAGGACAGAGGTATAATCTCTTAGAACAAAAACACAAGAACAACCAAAATTGTGTGAGTATAATGTGATGGAATAAAACTCTAAGCTTAAGAGAGAATTCTTGGTTTATAGAAGTTTTAAACTCTATCCATTGTTCTCTGAGTTTAATCTTATTTTATTTAAGTTTTGTTTATAATCTATTGAGTTGAGATTGATTATCCTTTCTAATTGATGATTTGGTTTATATGTTAAATGTATCCATCCCGCTTACTCAGAAATTTTGCACAGAAAAAAAGAACATCTTGGATGAGATTTAGGTACAAAAAAGGCAGGAGCTTTATTCGTTACATTATTTGCTCCTAAATACAAGTCGCTCTTGCTTCATCTTTGCCTAAAAACAAAGACTACAAACCAGTACTACTAGGCGATAGCCAAGGTGGGATTATTACACATTAAAAGCCATTTTAGAATGACTTTCTCTGGGGAGATAGCAGGAAACTCTCTCCTCCTCTGTTCATCTTCAAACGCTGTGCTTCATTTGGCGATATCTGGTACGCGTTTGTGAGGACTTCAATAGGCATTGCTCTAATCACTGATGTGTAACCTGCAAGTTGGCTGTTCATTGGTTGACTACTTGTCCTAAACACCGCGAATTCAAATCCACTTTGCCCTGCTTTCACTGTTGAGGCATAGTATTGAGGGACTACAAACATTTCTCCTTGATTTACCCTGTCGTTCATCACTTGTTGCCCGGTGTGATCTACTACCTGCACTTGTGCATCTCCTCTTTGCACGTAGATAATGCTGTGTCCGTTCACAGACCAATGAGGACTCATAAGTGCATTCTGCAATCCGCCAATTCTAATCAATTTAAGTCATAGTACTAGAAGAATTATTTTTGTTTTTAATCAATTTGGAAATAACATTGACTGAATTACCGGATATAGGGTTCCTTTAGAGGCACTCATGTCCATGTCTCTAAGGATGGGAAGTTTTTGGCGATTAACATGCTTAATTTTGCCAGCTTGCCTTGAGTAGATGTCAGCTCGTCTTTGAGTATCCATGTTGGTGCGGATTTTCATTGTGCAAATGTTTTCTTCCAAGCCATTTCCAGTAACTTCCGCCCACCATTGTTGTCCTCGTTGTGATCGCCCTTCGAATTCCTCTTCTTCTTCATCGGCCCTAATCATGCTCATTCCTTCCCTGACATTAATAATTAGTCCACGTTCGTTCTGTTCTTCTTGCATCTTCCTCACAATCTCTACGGGAATGTTGAAGGCCTCTGCCATCAATTCTGTGTTAAAAGCACGGAAAATGTTCTGGAACTTCTGTGTGCTTTGCTTTCCTACACCAATTTGCCTTCCACTAATTTCTTGTACTCCACCGGCCAAGTAAAATGCCTAAAATCCACACAAATAGTACAGTCGACCAATAAATTCATCGAATTATGAAAGAATTCGAAGTTAAAATGAGTACATTGATTGGTGTAGTTTAACTAGCAAGATCTAGTTACCAATATTAGTCAATTTACCTGTAATTACTATTTAAGTAAACTGATTGGGTAAACATGTTTCATACAAAATTAAACTCATGAAATTGCATGCACAAAAAAATCATAGAAAGAAGTGGTAATTAATTAATACTACTCCCTCCGTTTCTGGTAACTCTTTAATTTCAACTTTTCGACGTGTTTAAGACAAGTAGAAGTATACATTCTATATATATTTAATAGGAGGGAGGAAAAGAATTTACCCTGAAGTTCTGATCAAGCTGGTTGGACCGATGGTTGAGATCGTTAATGGAGACGGCTACAAGCTCTTCCTCACCGTCGTTATAGCACCAATGAGCAGCGCCAGCTGGAATTGCCACGACATCACCTTGGCGAATGCGGTGGACCTTCTGGTGCTGGTCATTTCCGCGGCTCTGGCCCTTCTCTTCACCTGTCATTCGGCCAGCCTGGAAGGTCTGAGACTGGAAAGTCTCAGCACAACCAGGGTTAATAACGCTAATCAATCCCCTGCCTTGCTCAATATAAACCAAGCGAGGCATGGGATGAAAATTAGGCAAAGAGAGAGAATTTTGGCGAATAACACTCCTCATAGGAGCAACTCCAACACACTGGAATTGCTCCTCATTCTCGTCCCACAGCTCAGTGTAGCCGCCCTCTGACTCAATGCGCTGAGAGGGCTGGCTTCCAGTAAGCCTCTGTAAGCGGCATTGTTGAGCTTGAGTCAGAGGAATGCTTCTCTGACCATGCTGACCTTGCTGAACCGGATATTCTCTATATGCATTTGCTGCAGATAAGAGAAAAGCAGAGAAGAGTATAGCTAACAAAAGCCTAGTAGAGACCGCCATGGCTAAGGATTTTTATTGTTTTATTACTAATTGATTAAAAATACAAAGATGAGATGAGATTTGGAGAAACAGAGGCCTCTGTTTTTATAGTGTTTGAGAGGAACAAGTTTGTTGGCCGTGTGGCATTAACCTGTTTTCTTCTGCATGGTGGAACTGTTTTTTTCTGCATGGTGAACATAAATGACACCTTGCAATGGTTGTTCAAAGGAATCAAAGATGTGTTGGTTTAATTTGCATGAAACTATACGTGTTGAAGTGTTGAGCTGCTTTGCTTACTCCTTCTGTCTTTGCATATACCACTTGTCTAAGCTCTTCTGTTTTTGATTAATTCCTTGTTTTCTGATACTAGCACCTCAGGTTGATTGAATTCAAAATACTGGGGAAGCAGTAATATTTGGGTTGGGCTCCAATGGATCGACAAATAAACCTACAAATTTGGGCCTCAAATTGTTGAGTAGAGGCATTGTAGAATAGGAGTGTTTCTATTAGATATATTTCATGTCAAATTGGATATGTATGCTTTTTTTTCGGTATATTCTCAAATGTCGATTATGTAGATAAGTTATCCACATTAAATAGATCACGTCATTTAGTTATATACGCATTAATATCAACAAGTCGTAAAACCTTAGGTATATTTCAATTGAGGTTGGTCTTATTAACCTCAATAAGTTGTAAAACATCAGGCATATTCCAACGAGGTTGACGTGCATAATTAAAGGAGATGACACATTTTATAGGGTTAATTTAACTATCTATTACATGCTTGAAAACATGCATAGGAGCTTTTTAAAAAAAATGGATCGAAAGTGTAATAAGAATATTTTACCATATGTATTTAGGTGCTTAATAGGAACAAGTCATAGTTCAAGTGTCTAATTGAAATTTACTAACAAGTTTAAGAGTGTATTGATGTTTTAAGTCTTTCAAAAACTTATAGACTTCATGTCCGAATTCACTATTAAACTTTTAAAATTTAACGGTCAAAGTCTGAATTATGCCACATACATCGGGAGCAGCTTCATCAGGGCCAATAGTCCTTCTATTTTCTCTCTCACACTTCTTTCTTTGTGATAATAGCTAAGAGTCTCCTTAAACTTGACACACTTTATTAGAGATGGAACTAATCAAGACTAAATACTAGTTTCATTTTGTATACATGCAAGTTGATCAGTTCGTTCTTAAGAAAATTGAAAAATATAGAAATCGATTTGTTTTGTATTAATTGGGCTTTGAGGGATGTCTTCTTTTTCCCTTATTAAGCAAATCACACCTAATCATCCTTGATGTCATCTTGATGTATTGGGGTATAGCTTAAATTAAGTTCACACAAAAACTTATAAGCCTGGTCACTTTTTTTAACATAACAATGGAAATATTAAAATTAAAAGTGAAAATAATACTGTTAGTATTTCCTCCGTCCAACAATAGTTGTCCACTATACTAAAAATAGTTGTTCAATAATACTTGTCCAATTTAAAAAATCAAGAGATAATTAAACTTTTATATCTATTTTACTCTTGCTATTGAATATTATTTATCATCTTACACATTTTTTAAAGCATTAAATTTAATAAAGTCAAAAGATAATATAGTAATATTACCCCTGTTATTCATTACTCCTTCCGTCCCATTTTATGTGGCAACATTTGATCGGGCACAGAGTTTAAGAAATAAATGAAGACTTTGAAATGTTTACCAAATTGCCCTTTAAAAAGTGGACTCACTTTTCTCTCTCCTCATAAATGTATTGGAGTATTATTTTAAGATTAAGTGGGACCAACAAGGATAAAAAAAAAATTGTACCTTTAAATACTTATCATATAAGGAAATGTGACATTTTTTTTGGGACTGACAAAAAAGGAAATGGTGTCACATAAAATGGGACAGAGGGAGTATTTCTTAAGAGATGTGTCAAATAAATAATGGACAACTATTGTCGGACGGAGAAAGTAATTGACTTGTGGTCAGTGGTCACGGCTTCACTTTTAAGTGCAGAATTTTAAAAAATAAAATAATATCCTACTAGTAGATTCTTTAAGTAACTTATGCCTGATGACATTGATTCAACTTGATCTCTTAGCAGCCAAGAATCTAGCTAGTTGCTACAGGATAAAGGCAAAAGCATAAAAAGATAGAAAATAGATGGTGCAGGGAAGAGAGGTCCACTCACGGACCAACATACAGAGAACAATCACACATATACCAAGCACGCGAGCGAATCAATATAGAACATGTCCCTGATATCCGAACCAACCAATAGATATCCCATATCAGCGTCATATACAAGTCAATCGATATATGTATCAGACGTGGTATCTAAGCCAATCAAGAGATATCATATACCAGGCATGGTACCGAGCCAACTAATAATATGAATAAAAACTAAGCACTCAAAGGTGTAGAAACGGATCAATTTTGGAAAAGTTGGAAAAATGAAATGTAGTTACGAATTCCCTATATCCACACACAGTTAGAATCATTGCCTAATTCCTCTCCATTCAGTACTTAGTCACAAGTCCAAATTAAACCTCCCTACTTTTGGGGCAATTGAGACTTAACAATAGCAATTCCAAAGTGATATATGTTAACGAATTAAAAAAGTTCAGTATTGGTGATTAATGAGATGAGTGATCTCCTTATAAAACTTGGTCAATTCTTTTGCCTTTGAGTTAGCTTTTGGAACGTGAGTTATTGACAGTTAAAGGGGTTCGCCACAATATTATTATTGTCTACATAAGTACAAAATCGTGTGTATGTGTATATATAGATGGTTGAATACATAAGTGAAATCTATGCCTCCACCACTGTCTACTAGACCAATTTACGAAGCACTCGTTTCCATAAAAATATATCTAAGTGCAGTGAATATTCTATATTGATGATTTAAAATTTTAGATTCGACTCTAATCTTACCTGCAAAGAACCAGAATAAAAAGTTATCCAACAAGATGGCTTCACAGCCTGGAGCATCAGATTAAGATACGAATCAAGACAGTTTTAAAGAAATACATAAACCAAAATAGACATAAGTCTGCGGAAAAGAAACGCATTCTTCAAACTACCTAATTTTTGTCCTCTTTATCTCTTTTTGCACCAAACTGTAGCGTAAAATTTAAGCCAGTGAATATATATTATTGCACCAATTGACTATAACTATTAATCTACTACTAGTGCTATTTATATATCTTAGTATCTCAGCCTTTGTTATATTTCTCCCCTTATTCATAACTGAATTTGAATTGCTTCATATTCAATCACCATGTATTGCTTAAACTTGCGGAGAGTACTCCTTCCAACTCGAAAAATGTGGAAGTTTTTTTCCACCAAGTTACAAATCAATTTCCACAAAGTACTCAATAGATCCAAAGTCATTAAGAAATCCAAGAATCCAAATCCTTTATGCATCAAGAAACTAGCCCCGTCCCCTGCCTTTCGAGTTCAATTCAAAACTAAACGTTCAAACAATAAGTTCAAATACAAGTCGAAATTCAGACCTACTCTTAAATTTCAAAAGAAATCAGCACCGGTATATATAGATCAACTTTTCATTGAGAATATATCTGATTCTGTGGTGAAGAACAACTTTGGCCAAACTAGTATGATCACGACAAAGAAGAAGGAGCATAAACAAGTTTGCATAACGGAAACAGAACAAGATGAGATAATCCATGAGGGGGAAAGCAGCAGTAGTAGTAGTGTCACTAATGATGAGCTGTGGGAATCATTGACATTGGCATCTCCACAATTGCATTGTATTAATGAAAGAGCAGAGGAGTTCATAGCTAAATTTCGTGCAGACATGCTGCGTCAAGAGAATATGTTGATCCAGCGTTTGTAGTATGGGTTTTTTTCTCTTTTGTAATTTTTGTCAGCACTGAATAAAATTTGTCCACTGTATATTAATCTAGTTTATTTTTATACATTTGAGTGCAGAGAAATTAAAGCGATCAATTGGGGTGATAGAATTAACCCATAAAAATATAACTCTACTAACTCACTTAAATAATGTTTCTTGGCTTATTCTTTTTTATTTGTCCGGTAAAGTCTATTGAAAATTGGGCTAATTTATAGCTCAAAATGATCAATGAGAAATTTTATCAAAATATTTTCAAGAAAAGATTTTTAGGTACTCAAATTGGAATGAATAAGTCATGATCTCATTTTAAGCTCAGTTCATTTCAATTTTCAGATCTAAGTAACTTTTAAACAAGTCAATGACCTACTAATCTGCTCAAATTCAGCTCAACTTACCCATTGACATCCGTAAACTCATCAGTAATCAAGAACAAACAAAGAAATTAAATGGGGTACATCGCTTCCTTTAGTGATAACCAAATAAGCTAGAGATAAATGTAATATTTTTGTGTTGGAAATTTGGCGAGGTGGAGCCCCTTTCGATCTATGATACTCTCTTGAACGTAAGTGGAGGGAAAATATTACATACATCCTTCATTAAACATGAAGGATGAATTTATCATTGATCCACACATTTCACAATGTACATAACCAAACAAAAAAAAGAATTTCGATCGTTAAATGCAATAACAGAATTTTGATTCAATGAGCCAATGCAATAGTAGTCTCTCACATTCACAAAGTTGAAATGACACACACAAACGCAGAAAGAAGGCAAATATTTATACAAGAACCAGAGTAAAGACTTCAAACAAACAGGCTTTGCCTGTATTACAACCACAAACCGGTGAAATACAGCATATTACATGAACATAGATACTTCCCAATTTTTAGGTATCTTATTGTACATATGCTCTCAAGAGTATGTAGGTGCAGTTGTATACAACTTAAAGGTACTAAATCATAGAAGAAAAAGATCTTCAAGCAACCCCAACAGAGAGACTCTTCATCGCAATACAATTTTCGACTAAGAAACTATCATACCCAATTTCACCTAAGAGTGGCACATGGTCCCAACTGATGTTTCCCCTTAGAGGTGAACAATTTGGCCACATCTAAAACTCAGTGAAGAAAGTCCTTCATTGGATCATCTTGGTGAACCCGCTTCATCCTATATGCCTCCATTTCTTCAGGTGTAACCTGTACAGGTAAATGTCGTTAGAAAGACAAAGAAGAAGACAACCACCAGCAGAAAGACAAACTGGAGACATAGATGTACCTCATCATTATATTTAACATTATATTTCCTCTTCCGTTCATCTTTCTCTTCACGTCTCTTCTCCTCTTCCTGTTCAAACAGCAAAATAAATTTGATCAGAACATCAGAAAAACAGAAGCTATAGAGACAACTGAGAATCCACATAGCTGTCAAAAGATGGATCCAGTCAGGTTATCAGTCTTCCCAACCCCAACCTCTGGCAGTCCCCTATGAAATATCTCTCCCCACCTCCTCTAAGCATCTCTCCTTTTTTTTTTTTTGGTGGTGATGGTGGAATATCTACAAGCATTAGCCCCCAAAACTCTACCCTCACCAACTATACCCTCCTAAAAATAAATTACTTGAAGCAGGAAATACACTGACAAAATTCATATTAGCATGAAGTGCAAAAACGGTGGTAGCACCATGCATGGGTTTATAAGAGTACCTTCTTTATAGCTTCAGTGAGCTTTTTCTGGTCTAGTATCAGATCTTCCGGTACTTCAGTCCCCCAAGTAGCTAGCCTCTTCTCCTCAACGGGCACATGTGTATCTGGATCAAATATTGAGAAAAAGAAAAAAGATGTTATCAAATACTGAAGAAGACAGTTGCCAAAAATGTGCTTTGATATGGTCTTCAATGAAACAATCCTCTCAGCAGCTTTGCTGGCCAACTCTTACATTAAATAAGATGAAGTTTAAACTGACTGCTAATTCAAGCAGAAACCAAGGAGTTATCCACTAAAAATTCAAAGCTAAGTAGAGTAGTCTCGAAATGTAGATGTTATGTTTGTAACCACTAAAACCCTAGAGGTTATGCTAACCACTTCAACAGAAAGCTACAAAAGGTCCAAAGGTCCTTATGCACTATCCTGATCATGAATATGTTTACCGATAAACTGATCCATCATTTTTCTTCTAAATACAAAAAGGATCATTTTTCTTCTAAATCCAAGAAAGCCAATACCATTACCATCACCAACTCCAAGACATTCTAGTTCTATTCTCCTTATCTCTAGCATAGAACCTCATGTAATGGAGCTAGCAAATTCTCCTTTGTACTTGCTATCTTCTGTACTCATTGCATTTTCTTGATGCACCTATAAAATCTCTTACTTCATTTTTTTCAAAAAAAGAATAAGGCAATTCTAGTTCTATAGGGCATGCAAACAATGGAAATTACTTATTTGATCGGTAAAACAATGCCAGGTACTGACAAAACCACTAAAGCAAGAGTTGAAGTATAACTTCAACAGCACGTGCGGAAAACAATTACTTTCTAGTACTCAGCAGAAGGTTGTGAGCTTAAAAATTAGAAGGTCTCCTGTAAATTAGGAGAAATAGATACGATCTTAAAGCAAACTATGCCAGTAAGATTGTTATTGCAAGCAGTGTATGATAATTTCAAGACATGTCAGCAGTTTCAATATACCTTCAGCAGCCTCCTTACGAGCAATGTTGGCTTTCATAAGACCAGCAGAGGCTTCTGCTGCTTCAATTCCAGCAGCACCAGTACAATAGCTATTTCTGATTGTTTGTTTGCAGCACTTGTAACCCCATTGGTGATCTTTCCACCATGAACCCCAAACAGTGGTGTGGTTATTGATGTAAACATCCTCTTCGTATTTGCTTCTAGGAAGTGACATCTCCTGCAGATAGCAAGTTACTGAATTAGGCAATAGAAACAAACAAGTATGACAGGAAATATTTGACTCCACATTTCCCTTCCATCTATTCGAATACAAATCATTCTTCCTCATTTATGCACAAAAGAAAGCATAGAACTTGACGAATAGACTGTACAAGCTAAGAGCTCCAAACCCCCTTCCATAAGTAGGGACAACAAAATCATCTCTCTCAGACAATAAATGGCACATCAAAAAATATTGCCTTCAATAAATCCAAGTTAGTTGTTTATCCTTGTGTTAAAGGAAAATCGAGACCTTTAAGGGGTCGTTTGGTGTGATGGATAAAGAAAAATAATCTCGGGATAAGTTTTTAGCACCCCTCAATTCTTTGTTTGGTTACAAAGTGTGGGAAAACTTATCCCAGTCATAGGATAAATAATTATGACTGGGATAAGTTATCCCTACTTGTGGGTGGAACACTAATCACGGATAACTTATCCCGGGATAAAAATGTAAAATAACAGAAGTACCCCCCTTAAACCATCTTTTATAAACAAACAACTTATTCTTAGAAATTATGCCATGCATATTTGACAAACCAAACAACCAATAAAAAATAATCTCAACATAATTAATCTCATCATAACTTATCCCAACATAATTAGTCCCAACATAACTTGTCTTCAAACTAAACGACCCCTAACAGACTTAATTTTACCATTATGTTAGAAGTCAAAAACACCACTTCAGCCTACATGTTTTTTTGAATCTTACTTGAAAACCTGTCTCTCTCTCTTGCTCTCGGTTCTTCACCATTCCAGTCAGTGGTGGAGCTTAGTTATAGACCATACAAGCTAAATTGATCAACGATCTAGTTTTAGAATCTTTCTTTTCCAGTATCTGTATAAATCTTTATGCTATTCCTCTTTCATTCACTTCATTTCTAGTCTTTCCTTTCAATTCGAGTGTTACTTTCTGTTTCAAGGGGACTCTTCGTAGAGAAGAGACCAACATACACACCTTCAGAGGGAAGTGGTGATGATGGTCAGTGAATGAGTAAACTATGTCCAGTAGAGCAGCGTGGCGTAGAGAATCCATTCAGTCAACCCCAACTAGTTCAAAATTCAGGCGTCATTTTTGTTGTGATTTTTACAGACAACTGAAAGCAGCTTGAAAAAATTGATTTACCACTACATACATCAGGGGCAGCAGCAACTGGATAGATGTCTATTTAGGACAACAACATTTTGAAAGAGGTTAATTTTATATTCTTGTGACATACTATTTTGATCCAGCCTTAGAATGATAGTAGTCCACTATTGTCACCAAAAATACATGTATAATCTACTCCGTCCATCCCAGAAAGATTGACGGGGTTTGACGAGGATCAAACAATCTAACTTTTGGTTCAAACTGGACATCAAAGAAAATATTGTAATTAATATGTTCAAAAACAACAGAAAAAAACTCTAATTACAATTTTAGATATTATTATTATGTATATACATAATTAGAAATATTCGAAAAACCTCATTCCAAGAAGGGAAGTTTTGACTCCCCAATTACTTACGCTGCCCTAGAAGGGGCAACGGGAGAATATTTTGTATTTTTCTTTCTTTCGGAATTTCAACTCCCTTAGGTAAAACATTTGTTTTTAGATGAACACATGTTCCTTTGTTTTTTAAGGATATGATATAGCATCAACAAAAGATCTTAAATTACAGTAGAGGAGTTAAAAGTATTAAAATTGCAATTCTACTTTGGATATATTGGCTAACTTCAAAGATGGAGATGCTTTATACTAGACATGAATCATGATATAGCCTGATCAATAAATACAGACATTATTGCTTCACTGAAATAGATCCTCGAAAAGAATCACTGTTCTATACAAATATCTTGAAGTAACTTATCCCTCCATAGAATTGCTCCAAGGGATGAGAACGTACAGACAACTGTAACTTTAACCATCCATACACCCAATTTATTATAAAACTATTACTATGCCTCAATCCCAAGCTAGTTAGGTTGGTTATATTACTAATCCAACACCAGCACAAACAAATATTTAGACAACATACTCAAGAAATTTTTATTTTCTTTTTTGAGACAAAGGTGTGCTACTTAGACCATCTATTTAACAAATAATGATAAAAAAAAACTGAAATATATCAACAGAAATTACCCCCCAACCACCCCAAGAAAAACAGAAAAACCAAAACTTGAATAGTACTTTAATCAATTTTAGGCAGCTATTAAGTAAACAGTTACCTGTCCCTTCACAATCCTACCAGCACGATCATATTCAACCTCTTTCTCACTTTGACCCAGTAGGAGTTCTCTTGGAAGTGTGTCATCACTAGCTGCATTGCCATACTTCTCCATGACATCATCCTTAGTTTGCACCTTCAATTTCTCCTTGTTAATCTTAAAATTTTTGTAGAGCAATTCTGCTTGGGATGGAGCTGCTTGCATATGAACATCATGACCCTTATCAAAAGCCTCCCAGGCATGAATATTAAGCTGCTTGAACTCCAATGCTTGACCACTAACTCTGTTTTGGTTATCTCCCTAAACAGAAAAACGATCAATGAGTTAATAAATATGCATATAACAAAAGATAGAGAGAGAATAAAATCTCATTTTTTATTAGGAGCACTTACAGCATAGAACTTTTCGTTCGGGTCCATATCAGGAAGAGGATCTTCACGCATAGACCGTGTTTTGGGATCATAGTGTGCTGAATTTACATCAAGATTGAGAAGATATTTAGCTGTATCCTCCCGAATACGCAGGTTCCTGGTCATGAAAGATGCATCAATAGAGCATAGCATTCAACCACAATATTGGAAAAATCCCAACAACCTAACCACCACAATGACCCAGAAAAGATATTAAGAAAAACTTACCTAACAGTCCCTGTGCTACCACCACCAGTGGTCCGCACGCGCTTCTCAACTTTGGCAAAATCCATTTGCTTGCTTTCATCAACCTTCGCTTCGTCTACCTTCAAAGCATCCTCACAATCCTCATTGTCACTATCACCTTCTTCTTTGTCATCCTTGTTATTTTTTTCTTCCAATTTTTTAAGTTGTTGCTCCTTGAGGTATTTCCTTCTTGCTTCATCCCTTGCTTCATATCGTTCAATGACATGGGCATAAGAAGCAGCATCATAACCATTCCAACGATCCCTTTTACCATCGTAGTCCAGCTCAAACTGCTCTATCTTCTCATCAGGGGCAATGTGTTTCCCTGTCCATTTTGCTCCCAGTTTGCGTGGTCTTTCCATACATGACCTAGTGTCATGGGACATTGCTCCACAGCTGCACAAAAAACAAATGTACATTCATCTTTCGGGATCCCTTGGATAACCTTTATGAAAATGGCTAATCACTTGAACCAAGGCATCTAATGAAATTCTTATGGAACTTATAAGAAAATGGCTAATCACTTGAACCAAGACATTTAAGGAAGGCAGCAAGCATAAGTGTTCAAAATTTAAATTTCCAAAGTAAAATATCTTCATAGTTGGATTTCTTTTGAACTCCAATGCAAGCAAGATGAGCAACTAAGTGCCAATGAATGACAAAAGAAATTAAGCACTAAGTGCCAATGAATGACAAAAGAAATTAAGCATAAGCCACAGACAGAAACACAAAAACTTAAAAACTCAAAGAAGCAAGGAAACACCACACGTACTTTTCACATGCACCCTTCCTATACTTGTCAGCTTGATATATCTTCGCACCTCTGTCATACCACGATTTTGTGTAATTCGGGTCTGATTTCCAGTTCCTTTGATGTTTCAAACTCTGCGAACACCCAAACAATTGAAAAAGGTCAAATTTTGCGCATGAAAACCATAAAACCCCAAAATAAAAGAAGAGATACGTACTGGTCTTTCTGCATTAAGGTACCAAGGAGCTGAAGACATATACTGAGGAATATGAGGATTAATCTCTTTTCCATCTTCGTCCAACTCAGCCGGAGCAAGACCAGCCTTTCTTGCTTCTTCCAATTCCAACTGTTTCCTATGATCCTCCCTAGATTTAAATGCCCCTGAAATTCCATACAATTATAAAATTACGAATGAATCGAACACAAAATTCCAAGCTAGGTATAAAATAAATGCATACCTGATGCAGTAGCCATAATTATTTCTGTAAACGAAAATTGAGAGGAAAAACGATTGGATTGACCAAACCCTAGAAATATAATACACTCCGGCCCGCAATTAGAATTCGAGTCGGAAATGGATTTATACTTTTGGACAGATGGCGGTTTTAACTCTACGGCTACCGTCTGGTTTTAGTTGGTGGAGGCGGTGTGGACCGACCCGGTCCGTTTTGCTGGGCCTGTAGTTGAACGCCGAAATTGAAAAAAATGGTACTTTTTTTTTTGGATTAATAATGGCACCTTCTTATATATGTGATATTATTATTATTTTATATATAATAAGTGGAAATATCTACTACTTAGCACATGACAAGTGTTTATTTGGGCCCATTTATTATTTATATGTTTTCAATTTTCAATATATGTTGTCTATCTTATTCTTTTTTTCAACTTTTTATTTTAAATTTTTTGAAATTTAATTACTTATTTATTACTCTCTCTATACACTTTTAATTGTTATGATTTCCTTTTTAGAATCAAACTATGAGAATTTTAACTAATATTTTACAATGTGTTGCAAAAAATTACAATTTATAGTACTTTTTGTATAGATTTTGCATATTTAAATTTTTTATTTAAAATATCAAATTAATACAATCTAATTTAACTTTGAAAATTATTATATTACTACTATTAATAAGAATGAATGTGAGGAGCTTCCCATTTATGGGAATTGACAAAAAAAATCCTCAAATGTTTGTAATTTCACATGAAAAATGTAATTCAATTGGTTAGTTAAAGGAGTAGTGCAGTTGCATTTCATTTTTTGTATCTATTGGACTAATTTGTCTCCTTAAAACTACAAATAATTCGCACAACTTTCTGAAAACATGGGCCCCACTTATTACTACTTAATTGTATTGCTTTGGTGACTGATATCAACTATTCTCTTTCCAATAATATTTCTCCAGTATTGACTTTATACATTTTTTAAGAAATTATAAATAAAAGAGTAATATTACTATATCATTCTTTAAATATAATAAATATAATGTATTAAAAAATATCATTGAAAAATGACTATAATTAATGATAAGGGGTAAACTATCCATTGATTTCATAAAGTGGACAAGTATTGTAGGACATTCCAAAATAGTATAATAGACAATAATTATTGGACGGATGGAGTAGGATTAAGTCTTTCTTTCAGTACTTTTCTCACATTAATTAATTTCTCTCAGCATTCAATTAGTGAATCTTTAGTAGAATTAATTAGAATACTTTTTACTTAATAATACGCACAATAAGCAATAAGAGGAAGCTTTCGTTGGTCTGTTCTTTTAAGGGTATGTTGCTAAACCATTAACACTGAAAGGTCAATTTACTGATAATTGTGAAGAAAGCATATTAATGAATTAAAAATAAAAAAGAGGTAATTAAACCCTAAAATATTATAAAGACATCTATAAAATTTGGTTGAAGCTCAAAATCTATTAGTGTCATATAAATTAGGATAGAGGAAATAACATATATTATTTGAAATAACATGAAACGTATTACAAATCACACAATAATTAGCAACTTCAAAATTTAAAGGACATACAAAAAATTTGATCAACTCTCAAAATTCTACTAATGTCACATAGTTTGGGATAGAAAAAGTAACATATACGTAAAATGTACTATAACTCATAATAATTAAATAACTTCAAAATCTAAAAGACATATACAAAATTTGCTTGACTTTCGAAATTCTATCAATGACACATAAATTGGGACAAAGAGAATATTGAAAATTACATATAAAGTATTATTAACCACAATAATCAACAACTTAAAATTTAAAGAACATACAAAAAAATTGTTTGACCGTTAAAATTTTGTTAATGTCACATAAATTAAAATAAAAAATAAAAATATATGTTGGGCCCGTGCTAGCACGGGCTACTGTAACTAGTATATATATATATATATATATATATATATATATATTATGATATAAAATCGATAATTTGATGTATTTCAATATATTTAGCATTTCGAAATGTTTAAATTTCTTTACATGTCTCTTATTTTACATAATAATCTAAGTAGTATAGTAGTCGTAAACATTTGATTACTATAGTAAGTATCTTGATCAGTATTTGTCAACTACATAAAAATAATAGGAGGGTGTCGAAAAATACTTATTTGCTTACTACATTTTGAATACAACTTATGTTAGAAAAACACGATTTTTTAGTATACCTCTATCTCTTTTTTAATCTAACACTGTAAAATTTTCGCACTTTTTATTAAGGCATCTATGCTAATCTTCCTATTTCTCACATATTATTCATTACAGAAACTGCTTTCATCTAGTTCCTAATCTTGTCTCTTTTGATATGCTTGTACATCCATATTTTCACTTTTGCTTTTGTTTTCATCTTCTGCCCAATACTCTACTCATAAATATCGTTGGTATAAAATCATTCTATAGAACTTATCGCTAAGTTACAGTAACACATTCTCATCACATAGGATATTATATATACGATTCTTCATTTCATGCACACTGCCAATACAATGTATAACCTCATCATCAATCTTTGTTGGATTGTTCATATTTGAAGTTCCCTTGCTTTGAAATTACATGTGTATCAATCGTCACTTTCGCATCCGCCTCAAGCGATGTGTCACTGAACTTGTACTCTATGTGCTTTTTGGTTCTGCTCAATTAAACCTTTATACTTTAAGATATGTCTCCAAACCTCTCGTTTATCATTAATTCTATCACGTGTCTCATCAATTAATACTATGTCATCTACGAATAACATACACAATGATACTCCCCTCACATGTATCATGTCAAAATCGTCCATCACGGAGACAAATAAAAGTTAGACAAATAGCTAATCTGTGGTATAACCCTATCTTAACTAGAAAGTATTTCGAGTCTGCTTTTGTTGTTCTAACTCAAATCTTGACTCCATTACACATGTCTTTAATCGCTATAATATTAGCTACATATAAACCTCTCAATTCCAAACATCTCCATAAAACCTTCCTTAATAGTACTTTGTTGTATACTTTCCTAACTCGATGAGCACCATATGGTCCCAAAATAACTAACCCTACCATTTCGTTAAAGAAAGAAGTCAATATTCCCAACAATGTAATATATATTTTTTAAAAGTATTTTATTTCAACGGGAAAACACCAAAAAAAATATATTTTATTTTATAGGAAAAAAAATTACTCATCTGAACGGCCGAAACGTCAACGTCGAGAAAAGAAAACTCCTTTTTGTCCCAAGATCGGAAGGGTTCAGAAGCTGCCAGCGTTGCTATCAGAAACCTATATAAACAGTTCTTCATCTCGCGCAAAAATTTCAATGGAAGCCGAAGGTAAACCCTCGGTTCAACCCTCTTAGTTTTCTTTCTTCCTAATTTTTGCTTAACAAATATGTTCAACTATGTTTGTCACGTAATCCATTTTAGGGCAACGAACATCCTCCAATCCCTCCGCAGTGCTCGCTGCTCTCTTGTCAAAAAGAGCTAAACTTCACGAAGATCTCCGAAACCTCGAAAAACAGGTCACAAATTTCTGGGGTTTGTGTTTTATGTTTAGTTTCAACATTGATTCCCTGAAATTCTAACTGAATTGCAGGTTTATGACATGGAGACTATTTACCTACAGGATCCTAGCCAATGTGGAAATGTACTAAAAGGGTTTGAAGGATTTTTATCTTCCTCCAAGAGTACCAGCTTGTAAGTTTTAAATGAAACCTAGGATGGGTGTGATATTGCAATGAATTGCGTTTGAATAGAGCAGAATGGTGAATGCATGCATAGAATTTATTTACCTGACACTAACTAATTTGGAATTAAGCTTAGTTGTTTCATATGACCTTGTTTTTTTGGGGATAAAGCAATTCATATAATTGTATATTGTTGATGACTTGGTTTAGAGAAATGGATATAGGTCTTGATGTACTCTAGTGCTTCTTGAGTGGATTGCTTTCCTAGTGTGGTATGTTTGGAGGTAAGGATTTCAAAGAGAAATGGAGAGAGTGGAGACTAACAATCATGCTGATTTAGCATTTATGATGATACAAGCCTGTTCTCTCTCCACTTTCTATTCCTTTCATGTCCTTCTTAAGAAGTAAGAAAAGCCTTTACTGTCTAGAGAATAGTGTAGTCCCATAATTTGCTGTAGTTGATGTAAGTAATTATACCGCAATTTATTATGATGATACTATGGACAAGTAAATTTGTGTTCACAAATTACAAGTGGTTAAGTTACTTGCACATTGATGGAAGGAGTATAATAGGAAAGACTAAAAGCATAGGGTTAGTATGGGACAAGATTTTGATAGCCAATGTTCTGTGATGGATGTGGACAAGAAGGTAGAATACATCCAAATTACTTTTGGCATTTTGCTTTTGCTTTGTAAAACGTAATTGTGTATATTCATGCAGAGGCCGTAAAAGTTCATCAATGATGTAAATGAGCTAGCTTCGTGTCATTGTCTCACCTTGTGAGACTCATTTTTGAAAGGCTTAGTTCTGCTGTCCTTCTCTGTCTTTTCTCCTTTGTTTTTCGGAGGAGGTGCATGGAAGAATATTAATCATGTTGTCAGTGTGTGAATAACAACAGTTGCAGTTCATTTTCACCACGGAGCTAAATTCTACAAGATGAGAGTACCGAAAAACTTTTAGACATTGGTATAAACCCAATGTTATTGACATTTTAGTTGGGCTGATTGTGCTGAATAGATCCACGTGATTAAGCGTTTCAGTTGGAAAAATTTGTATAATTCCTGTACCCAAGGGGATTGACTAGTAGTTGAAGGGAGGTCCCAGGTTTGAATTGCAGCTATAACACTTAGTGTGAGCCCATTTCCTCCTGTTTGGTTGGCAGGAATGCTTTGCAATACGTGCTTGTGGGTTGGACAGTTTGTCCAGTGGATTAGTCGAAATGCATTCAAGTTGAAATGGACACCACTGATATAAGGATCCTTCCCTGCATCCTATTTTTGTTATATACTTTGACTCACATAACTATTACGAGAAGAGTTGGAGAAGTGAGTTGTTTAGTGGTTGTTGGAGACTTGGAGGAACTTGTAGACTACACATTTACTAAACATCTATTTGATGTTGGAAATGCTATTGAAACTGCCGTTCCTAAGAGATAGAAGAGTATCATCATTAGTTTATTCCATTAATAATCGTCTGGTAATATAGTGATGATTTTAAAAATCTACTGAATCACTGTCTTTAGGTTTCAATTTTCCGGCGGCCTTAACTTAAGGTTCGCCTATATGTTTCTTTATTGAAATTAGCCTTTTTCTTTTTAATTATTTTGCAGCTTGAAACGGTCCAGGAAGTTTCAACCTGAAGATAGGCTCTTTTCTTTATCGTCTGTCACCTCACCGGCAGTATGTATTTTTCTGTATTTCTCAGCAAGGGGAAACGCTTGAATGCTGTTGATGGATGTATATCTTATGATCTTATACACTGGGAATCATATCAGAGTTTCTGTGCATGGCATGCAAATTTAATTTCTCTTTAAGTTTATGTCTGTCATTTTGCAAGATCATATGCTCTGTTCCCTGTTATACAATGGTGCCCTTTGTTTCTTGTTAAGATTTATACTGGACATAGTACAATAGCTAATAGATTATAATCCATTTACTGCCCTGTTTCCATCTTTTAAATGTCTAGAGATTGTGAGGCAAGTTACGGCGCTCCATATGAATGTCAAGAAGATTTATTAAAGCTGACTAAATCTAACAATTCTTGATAGGGGGGCAACAATAGCAAGGTGTTCATTTGGTCAGCACTCGTCTTTGACCACCTTCTTGGTTTATAGTCCTGTTTTAAGATAGAGATCTTAGCCCATTCTGTTGAATTACAATGCAAAATTCTCCCTTTGGAACCCTGTAAAAGGATAAGAAAGAAGAGAGAGCATAAAATAAATGGAAAAAGGAAGGAATGTAATAGAGAAGGTATCAATTTCCAAATGAATCACCAGAGAAGTAGATTAAGGGGAACAAGTCCCATTTGAGTGGGTAAGCGGTGGTTAAGGTGTAAAGGCAGTTTGAGCTTGTTTTTGGTTGAAAAAGACTGGGTTAAATATAAGTAGAGTGGAAAAGAAAGAGATAGGGCTCTACCAACTACCAAACAACGCACTAGAAGCTCCCATCCGTATTAGAACCCCCCACCTTTTGAGTGTTCTCAAAGCTTTGCCAATAACATTGAGCACTAAAAAAAATGATATTTACAGTAATTTTGCTTGGAAATAGCTCAGGTTGCATTCGGAAGATGTTGTGACATAGTTACTGGTTCTCATGTATGTTATTGCCTTTCATCTATCCTTAAATTACAATGTGCTGAAACCTCGCGTTGAAACTTAAATTGCACTTTCTGGAATCTCTCCTTGTAACCCCTTGATTGTCTCCATCCAAAAGAGACCATAAGTAAAAAAGATAATTGAGCAACTCCTGCCCATGGTCTATCATGTTCCCATCTGCTTCAGAGTTGGACGATGGTCGTGGAATGACACCTTAATGCATATTTCATCCAACATGAAGTTGTGGTGCTAATTACATATTTCAAAGAACATGAAAGTAGCATTTTTGCACATTTTCAGGCTGAGGAACAAGCTCTTGGTCGGGATGGTGGAGGGATATCTGCCAATGTTCAGTAAGTAGTGAATATTATCCTAAACTACTTTCGTTGGAGGAGTAAAATAGATAGTTCCGCAACTTTTTCTCTTATAAGTTCTAATACAATAGACTACCCTGGTTTTTGGCTGTTTCTCCAGAGGTAGACAAAGGAAGGGCAGGGGAGGTCCAAGAGATGCAAAGAGAATGAGGCATTCAAGTGAACCAGACTATGACTATGAAGATGATCCAGATCTAATGTAATTTGGACTCTGGTGAAACGGTAGGTTGGTTGATTTGGAATGATGACATTGGTCAATTTTGACATGTACAAATATATTTGGCGGCCTAGAATTGTATTTCTTTAGTATTGGCGGACATCAGATTAAAAAGATATTGTATCCCAGTGAATATTTTTCTCTGTTGCTATTATATATAGTAGTAGTATATGTTTTTGACCACAGCATGAAATGAACGTTTTGTTTTTCCCTTTTGAGTGTCAACATGACACTTCAGACTTGGTTTAAATCTCCTGCGCTCTCTGGGACCAAAATTGCACAGAAAATATATTGTTCTTCCAGATACATCTATAATATGTGCAAAACACAATGCAATATAAATTTTTAATCGTATTAATGGTTGTGTATAGAACACTAGTAAGTAGTAAATCATGAATGATATTCTTACGAGTGGACCGTAAGTCTCTTCGACATTAGGCTTTTCTTCTCTTGAAAACTTGCAGTTTTTCAATCTTTTGGGGCCATGCAGTCTTCATATTTAGGGGATAAATTAGAAAAAATAATGAAAAAAAGAGCCAACTGTCAATTTTAATATTCGTGTTTAGCTTGCCAAACTAGAAATTTTCAGAGAATATGTCAATGAATGAATGATTTAACGTGATCATTCAGGAGACGATTTTAACCAGCTTAAACTGGACAATAAGGATTGATCTAACACCATTACTGTAGCTGTTACATAATGACAAAAATAAGGACAACAAAATTAGCTTATTTTGACCTTCCGAATTTAGCCCATCTAAAAACTAGGTTGATATATAGTTCGACATATCACTATAAGAAATTTTGTAAAAAAACACTTCCAAAAAAAATAAATTTTTTATTTGATATATTATATATCATTATAATAAAAATTTCTTTGTTAGATACTTCAATAATTATAACTTAGTAAGAATTTAGTGAGTTGCATTATGACCTCTAATTTAGCCAAATCGATTGATATCTTTTGGACAAGTCATTTCATTTTTTTAACTTGTCAATTTGATACCATTAGTCAAAAACATTATTAGTATTGAGGAAAAGGCAATAATGTTGAAGAGGAATGCATGGTCAAATTGGCGTTTGGCATCGCAAAAAGTATGGGTAGCGTTCAATCAACGCACCGACCCTGAGTTGAGAAGGTTTGTTGGGGATCTCTTTTTTTTTTTTTTTTGATAGAGACATAAAAGATAACTAGTGTGAAGAACAGCCAGAATAAATACTATTTGCTTCATTTTGGCAGTATCTTTTCTTTTCTTCTCTAATTATAATCTAATCTACTCAATCAACAACACCTTCAACTCCTTTCTTCCTCTCAAGGCTCCTTTAATTTTTTTTGCTCTTCTCATGTCTTTCAAATTCAGAGGGGTATGTCATCTATCTTTAATTTCGTTTTGTTCATCTACGTCTTTGATCAATTTGTATGTTATGTTCACTTGTTAATTTTGACTTTATGTTGTAGTCCCTTGGGAATATCTGAATCTTATTAGCACCAACTTATCAAGTTATAAGGGTGTACATCTTCCAACTAGGATAATTGAACATAAAATGCAACAGAGTTATGCGGTGGTTTCACTAGCTATTCCTGCTGGGAAGTAGCTGATATCCGATGGAATAGTCAAGGCGCTTTAAATTTTATTTGGCTTGACACCGTCACTATTAATATAAAGATAAATGCCAATTTTGAAAAGTTAAATTAGTTTTCTGAGCTAGCGTTTGATCATATATTTTGAGAGTATGCTTTTTGAAAATTTGTGATGTTTGACCATGAAATTTGATCAGATTTTTGGAAATATGATCTTAAAATATTTTTGACTAATCTAAACCAGTTTTTGGGACTTCCGCTCACAAAACTTCAATTTTTTTTCCTAAGTAAAATACTTGTCCAATTAGAACTTCAAAAACTTAGTGAAGAACTAAATTTTTGATATTTGAAATCCTCAAATTATATCTCTGTTTTCAAGTGAAGTATTGACACTGGACTCGATTTTTTCCTTGAGTTTCAGCCAAATGCTTCTTCTGGAATGGGTGTGGCTGATCACGGCAAAAATGCATTCTTGGAGTTGAAGAGGAAGAAGGTTCATAGATATGTGATTTTCAAGATCGATGAAATGAAAAAGGAGGTTGTTGTTGAGAAAACTGGCAGCCCTGCAGAAAGCTTTGATGACTTTACTGCTTCTTTGCCAGAAAATGATTGCCGATATGCGGTGTATGACTTTGATTTTGTGACTTCTGAGAATTGCCAAAAGAGCAAGATATTCTTTGTTCATTGGTCAGTCTCCCACCTCCTTGTGCATATTTTCATCTGTGTATGATTGCAACTATTGTTTGATTTTTTAATTTGCTTGGTTTTCCCGTATGCTTCCTTCCGAGACGGGGAAGTGAAGGAGAAAGGAGATAGAAGTTTGTCCCTCTGGAAGTTAGAGATGTAAAAGAGACGTCTTTTTTATCCTTCTGTTCTGTTATATTTGACAATTAGGGGTTTACAAAACCGAATCAAATCGCAAATTGAGTTAAATCGAACAAAAAACTCGACTAGTGATTTGGTATTGGAAAAAAAAAACCTGACTATATTTGGGTTGGTTTGGTTTTAACTAAAAAAACCAACCCGACATTATATATGTAATTTTAAAATTTTATTTTATACATAATATTTACATTGATATAATTTTAAAATATTTCTTATACTATTTCATAGTTTTTATCTTTTAATATATTATTTCAAGTTTAAAACTTATAATTCGAAATGGTCCAATAAAGATTATAGTTCATAGATGCTGATAATTATAATAAAACTTAAATCAAAATCAAATTAATACTAATGCAAAAAGAAAATCAATTCAACACTAAGAATGACAATAATATTGAATATTTGTTCTTTAGTTTAACATTGGTTTAGACAATTAAAATACATAATCTAATTTTAATTTTTCTTAAATATTTAGTAATGTAACTAATACTTATTAAAATTATTTTAGGATGATTTAGTACTTTTAAATTATGACTTTGCAATATTTATTTTATATGATGATTTCATTATTATTTTTTATTGAATATTTTAGTGTCATCACTCATCTCATATTTTGTGTTATTTTCTTAAGAAACACCTTATATAATTGTATTTTGGTTAGACTAAAGAAATATTTGGAGCACAACTTAATTATATGTTTGTATGCAAACTTTACCGAAAAAATCCAAGGTTTATTAGTTTGATTTGATTTATAAATTTAAAAATTCGACACAATGGTTTGGTTTGGTATTTGAAAAACCCAAACCAACTCGAGATTGAAAACCTCGAAAAAATCCGAATTTTATAAGTTTGGTTTGATTTATAAATTTAAATTTTTTACACAAATGATTCGGTTTGATATTTGAAAAACCCGAACCAACCCAATCATGTACACCCCTAATGACAATCATTTAAGGACTCAACAACTTTTTTTCTTGAATCACAATTGTTAAGTTTCTAAATGTAATTTAGTACTACTTGTTATGTAACACTTGTATCTTTTTCCTTCTCACATTCTCTGTGCATTGCTTTTGTTTCCTTAGGTCTCCTGCAACATCTCGTATCCGTGCGAAGATGCTTTACGCCACCTCTAAAGACGCATTTAAAAGAGAGCTCGATGGTTTTCATTATGAGATTCAGGCTACTGATCCAACAGAAGTTGATCTTGAAGTGCTGAAAGACCGTGCTCACTGAGCTATCTTGCAATAAACACTATCTTTCCTCTTATAAGGAACAGAATTCGCAGGGCCTTACTATTATCATAGTGATTAGTGCCAATAGCTTATATATCGTTGTGTTTCTCACAGAGGAAAATTCTTCTTAAATAATTGGGCATCTGGGAAGGGCTGATTTCCAGCTAAGCATTTAGCTTGTTAGTGTATATGGTGTTGGCATTGTTTTGCTTTTTTCTCAGATGTTTGAACACTTGGGAACCTGCATAATATAATATCAGTGGTTGCCAATTTTCCAATTGTGGACTATACAAGTACAAAATTATGTCTTCCGTTAGAATCAACATACAAGCATTGGGAGTAACTACTTTTAGACAGTAAGTGTTATACTACTATTAGGAACTTCTATAATGCATATAATTATGGAGTACACATGACACAAAACATATGGAATTCTAGGAGCAGTAATTACACAGAATCACAAATACCTGAGACTTATAGTATCTCGACACTAATAGTTTGAATTAAAGAAACTGCAGTACTACTAGATAGAACATATAAAGGATAAAAGGGAAATATATGAAACTAGTAACTACTTTTAAACACCCAGAGGCCCCCCACCCTGAGTCTGCCCGACTCGAGGCCCCCACCCTGAGTCCGCCCACCTTGAGGTCCCCTCCCTAAGTCCGCCCACGTAGAGCCCCGATCGTTCTAAAACGATCGTTAAGGTCATTCACTCGATTCCCTGCTGCCCGTTCATACCTTACAACGAGTATGATAGATGTCTATAATTGGCTTACTTTCGAATTCGTTGTTGGAGAAAGGGAAAAGGATTCTTTCTGGTTGTCACATCTTCTCACCCTGTCTGCTTTGGCTATGTGTTCGTAATGCTTCCTTCTTTTCTTTGATTGAATGAATTCTGAACTGGAATCATGAATTGGATTCGAACCAATATTGCTTTTGCGACTTTCCCTTTAGTCGATCATGATGGGAAGATCCTGCTGCCCCAGGATTTCGGCACCCCTTTCTGTGAGATATTTGCCTAACCAACCCCCCGCCTCGAGACCCCTGCCTTGAGGCCCCAGCCCCTCCGCATTGAGGCCGCCCACCCCATTTCACCTGATTTATAACTGAACCAATTAGAGAATTCTTGCTGTTGACCAAACAGGACTCAACAAAAATATCAGAAAGGAAATATTTTTTAACTCAACAAAGAAGATGAACATAAAAAGTCACTTGGATTCACATACATCCACGGATAGGTTCAATTGAGACAATGTCCTTCCAACAAATCATGCTCTAATATTTAAGTATCTATGTTACATAGGCACACAAATACTATGTTACATAGGCACACATTACTATGTCTGTGAGAAACTAACTTCAACCTAGTAAGCTACAGAAACTAGGACAACCAACTAAGCCCCAAGAAAATACTGGAACAATTCAAACATGAAAAGAAAAAATGAAACCTAGATCATAAATCACAAGATAAGATCACTCAAAGAATCAATACACATATGATAGTACTTCTTTACAGGGAGACTTGGCAGTGGTAATGTTAGGAACCTTTTTGGGCATCCACACAGGCACTTTCAAATTAATTAATGTTCTGAATTAAACAAAGGTGTCTAATAATATCACATAGTAATACCATCGCACTTTCCCTTCCCCCAGATTACTTTACTGACTATAATTCATGCAAAAAGAGTAAAAGAAGTGACCAAGAATTGCCATGAAATTATGAGTATATCTCCAGAAGCAAACGATGAGGGAAAACAAAGAAAAAATCCATATAAATTTTAGACTACTTAAACTACTTAGAGATACAAGGATATTCATCTATTCAGAAGATATGTCATGGCTACACACCAAAACTTTCAATGAGAACTGCAAAATGATGGAAAAGTTATTGTACATGAGCGGAAAACTTGAACAAGCTATTAACACAATTTAAATGCAAAAAGAGCAAATCAATATATATCAAAGGGGACCTATTAGGCAGTGATATACTCTGTAAAATAAGACTTTGAACCGAACTAAAAAGCAGACAAATTAAGGATTAAACTAGCATATACTTAAAACAAACCTTGAACTACATTCTGAAATTAAGCTAAACCATAGGCAGGACATGAATAATGAATGAAACATAAAGTCTAACCATAAGAGAACAAGCATGAATTTCAAACATAGTTTCAAACAGAGAATTAACTACATTACCTTGATTTTTGATAGTAGTTGCTGAAGTCCAAATATATGTGAAAGCTTCTTAACATGCACTTTGAAGGAGTTGAAGTTGATACAGGCATACAGCCTTTCTTTGATTTTTTTTTTTTGTTTTGCTGCGTAGAATCTCTATTTCTTTGAAGTACAGAGGATAAATCTTTTCTTCAGAAATCTCTTGTTCAATGTAGGGTATGAGTATGACACTTTGGTGGGCTTTTGGCCCTTACACTTTGAAATCCCTTTTATTTTGTTTAGACCAAATTTTCAAAATATGGGGTGTTACATTCTCTCCACCTTATGAAATACGGTCCCCGAATTTGAAGTGCATATTTGATGACTCACACTTGCTCCGACTCCCAAATAGCTTCTTCAATAGTATGATTTATCCATAAGACTTTCATTGTCACAACCAATTCTTTGATCATAACTTTCTTATGTGTCTGCCAACAATAGTCGTTGACTTCTTCTTTCCATACTTCTAAGTCCTCATCAAGTTATATAGTCCATGTTTCATGCACATAGAGACCTTATAAATCTCACGAAGAAAGTGCCAAACTAACACCACTACATATCTCGGTTATAAATCTGTATGGCCTATAATATGCCTCTGGTTCAATTTTCTTATTTTCTGTCACATCACACCATTCACAAGGAAGACTCGTAGACTATGTCCCTAATTGTGGACACTAAGTTTGTTCTACTCCAATCTGCATAAGAATTTTATTTCCTACTTTGAAATGTGAGCAAGCTCTGTCTGATTAATTGAACCTTGACAAAAGCTTCTTGTATCAGGCTGAAAGTTGTTGTAAGAAAATCCAGTTAAGGGTAGGTAAGTTTATCACCTCCAAGGTCAATCCAAAAAACATGTTCTCTAATATTTGAATAGTGTGCTCAAACTGCTCGTCTGTCTGCAGATGAAATGAAATACTAGGATTTTCTCAAGTACTCAAGGCTTGTTGAAAAGATTTTTGAAAGCATGAATAACCAATGATCCTCTATCATACATCATGGACGCTAAAATCGTATGGTGCCAATTGTTTTAAAGCAATCTACAATTACAAAAGCAAAGCCGTGACTTTTGAAGGTTTGAGATAGCTGTGTCAGAAATTCTATGGTAACTCTTTTAATCTGTTTTTTCTACTACAAGATCTCAAATTGATGTAGTACGCTTTCAAGTCATTAATGCTAAGGCCGGAGCAATAAATAAGTCCACTTCTTCAAGTCACGGTATATCCTCGTGGATCTGTAAGGTAGCCAACAACAACAACAACTTACCTGAATTCAACAACAGATGTCTTGGGAGGGTAGTGTTAGCCTATGTAATGGAAATACTCAAAACTTCATGTCTCAATCATGTTTTTGAACCCCGAGACCCTAGCCCGCCCTCCCCGAGGCCCCTGCAAGCCCGCTTGCCTCGAGGCATCCTCGAGCCGGCAGACCGCTTGGTCGAGGTAGCCAGCCTTCCCCGAGGAGGGCGCCAGCCCGCCCCGAGAAGAACCCCCGCCCCCTCCGCCTAGAGGCAGACCCCCAACCTCCTCGAGGTAGCCGCCCCTCTCCGCCACGAAGCGGAGGCCCAAGCCTTCGCCTTCGCCGCTGCCCCGGGGACAACTGCTTCGGGGTGAGCCCTCCGCCTCTTTCACCAGCCTCGGGGTGGGCCTCCCTCCGCCCAGAGGCCGCTTGCCTGCCCCGAGGCGTACCCCCTCCTCAGCCCGAGGCAGCCTGCCTTGGGGCAGGACCCTCCTCCGCTCTGAGGCCGCTTTCCTCGAGGCGGAGGCCTCCCTACCTCTTCTCCCCGAGGCCACCTACCTCAGGGTACCCGCGCTCCGCCCCGAGGCTGCCTGCCTTGGGGCCTCCGCTTCGAGGCCGCTTTTCTCGAGGCGGAGCCTGCTTCGGGGTGCCCGCATTCCGCCTTGAGGCCGCTTGTCTCGAGGCAGGGCCCCCCTCCCCCTCTTGCCCCGAGAAAGCCTACCTCGAGGCGGGCCCCCCTCCCCCTCTTGCCCCGAGAAAGCCTACCTCGAGGCGGGCCTCGCTCTTCCTCCTGCCCCGAGGACGCTTGCCTCTAGGCGGGGCTCCCTCCCCTCAACTCCGAGGTCGCCTACCTTGAGACGAACCACCTTCCGCCTCCTGCCTTTACTTTGCCTGCCCTCCCCCTTCCTCCCCGAGGCCGCCTTCCCTCCTCCGCCTCAAGGCCGCCTGCACTGAGGCAGACACCCCCTTTCCCTCCGCCCTGAGGTCACCTACCTCTTAACGGGCCCCCCTCCCCCTTCGCCCATACGCCGCTTGCCAAGAGGCTCCACCGCCTGCCTCATGGCGGGCCACCCTCCCCCTCCACCCCGAGGTCGCTTGCCTCGAGGTGGGCCCCCCTACCCTCCTCCGCCTCAAGGCCGCTTGCACTGAGGCAGACACCCCCCTTTCCCTCCGCTCTGAGGCCGCCAGCCTCTTAACGTGCCCCACCTCCTCCTCCGCCCCGACGCCGCTTGCCTCGAGGCTCCTCCCCCTTTCCCCAGCCCCGAGGCCGCTTGCCTTGTGGCGGGACACCCTCTCTCTTCTCCCCGAGGCCGACTGCCTCGTGGCGGGTTCCCCTCCTCCCCGAGGTCGCCAACTGCCTCGAGGCGGGCCCCCCTCCCACTTCGCCCTTTCGCCCCCTTCCCCGAGGCAGCCTGTCTCGAGGCGGGCCCCCCTCCCACTTTGCCTCTAGGTCGCTTGCCTCGACGACGCCCTTTTCCCCAGTCCCGAGGACGCCTGCCTCGAGGCGGTCCCCCTCCTCATATCCCCGAGGCCAACTGCCTTGAGGCGAGGACCCCCTCCGCCTCGAGGCGAGCCCTTTTCACCCCTTGCCCCAAGGCTGCTTGTCTCGAGGCGGCCCCTCTTCCGCCCAGAGGCCGCTTGCCTGCCCCGAGGCGTACCCCCTCCTCTGCCCGAGGTTGCCTGCCTTGGGGCAGGCCCCCCCTCCGCTCTGAGGCCGCTTTCCTCGAGGTAGAGGCCTCCCTACCCCTCCTCCCCGAGGCCGCCTACCTCGGGGTGCCCATGCTATACCCCGAGGCAGGCCCCTCGGGTCCCCCTCCGCCCGAGGCTGCCTTTCTTGGGGCCTCCGCTCCGAGGCCGCTTTCCTCGAGGCAGAGCCCGCTTCGGGGTGCTCGCACTCCGCCCCGAGGGAGTCCCTCCCTCTCCCCTGTCCGCCCCGAGGCCGCCTGCCTCGAGACGGTCCCCTTTCTGCCTTGAGGCCGCTTGTCTCGAGGCGGGGCCCCCCTCCCCCTCTTACCCCGAGGAAGCCTGCCTCGAGGCGGGGCCCCCTCTCCCTCCTGTCCCGAGGACGCCTGCCTTTAGGCGGGGCCCCCTCCCCCTCAACTCCGAGGTCGCCTGCCTCGAGACGAACCCCTTTCCGCCTCCTGCCTCTACGTCGCCTGCCCTCTCCCTTCCTCCTCGAGGCCGCCTTCTCTCCTCCGCCTCAAGGCCGCTGCACTGAGGCAGACACCCCATTTCCCTCCGCCCTGAGACTGCCTTCCTCTTAACGGGCCCCCCTCCCCCTCCGCCCCTACGCCGCTTGCCTCGAGGCTCCTCCCCCCTTTCCCAGCCCCAAGGCCGCCTGCCTCATGGCGGGCCACCTTCCCCCTTCTCCCCGAGGCCGCCTGCTCGTGGCGAGTCCCCTTCCCCCTCCGCCCCGAGGTCGCCTGCCTCGAGGCGGGCCCCCCTCCCCTCCTTCGCCTTCCCTCCTCCGCCTCAAGGCCGCCTGCACTGAGGCAAACAGCCCCTTTCCCTCCGCTCTGAGGCCGCCTGCCTCTTAACGTGCCCCCCTCCCCCTCCTCCCCGACGCCTCTTGCCTCGAGGCTCCTCCCCTCTTTCCCAGCCCCGAGGCCGCCTGCCTTGTGGCGAGCCACCCTCCCCCTTCTCCCCGAGGCCGCCTGCCTCGTGGCGGGCCCCCCTCCCCCTCCGCCCCGAGGTCGCCTGCCTCAAGGCGGGTCCCCCTCCCATTCCGCCCCGAGGTCGCCTGCCTCGAAGCGGACCCCCCTCCCCCCTTCGCCCCCCTCCCCGAGGCAGCCTGTCTTGAGGCGGGCCCCCCTCCCACTCTGCCTCTTGGTTGCTTGCCTCGACACCCTTTTCCCTAGTCCCGAGGACGCCTGCCTCGAGGTGGTCCCCTTCATCCTATCCCCGAGGCCAACTGCCTTGAGGCCAGGGACCCCCTCCGCCTCGAGGCGAGCCCTCTTTACCCCCTGCCCCAAGGCCGCTTGTCTCGAGGCGGCCCCCCCTCCCCCTTCGCCCCCCCGCCTTAAGGCAGCTTGTCTCGAGGCGGGCCCCCTCCCCCCCCCCCCCTCCCGGAACTTATTAATATTAACCTTCTTTATGTAGTAAAACCAAATAATTATAAAAGCTAAAGGCCAATAGTTACATAGGAAAGCATCAAATATTAAATAAGGCTTTTATCCAAACCAAAGAAAAAGAAAAAATAAGTTATATATATAATAAAATTAAGAATAAATCTACAGTTTCACCCTTATATTAAAGCTTCCAATTTGCACCCTAGAGTGAAAAAGATTGCAGCTTTTGCATCCAAACAGTGAAAATTGAGGCATATTTGAAGTGGGGTTTGGATAGAAAAGGATAAAGATAGTTTCTGAGGCAGCAAAGACTTTGCCGCCGGTGAAAGAATTTCATAAAACCATACGCTAAACAGTTATCAGAACTCTGCACTTGAAGGTTTGCTGCTTCCCGAGCTACTTTTGTTATTGATACTCAGAAAGGCATAATGGTTGTTTGTGGTTCAAGGACTCATATTGGCCATTTCATTGGCAATATGACTGCTAGGCACCTGCAGTGTAGTTTGTCAGTAAAGAGTTGTATTGTTTCTTACAACAAAAGAGGCTTTCAAAATGTTAGTAAACTAACATCAGTTTAGGAAACAAAGGACGGCCCAATAACTTCATGCTTTACCAATATTTACGACTAATGTTGCAAGGAGGAGGACAAACCTCAATCCACACAAAGGCTTTGGATTGGAAGGTTTTCGCAATTTATCCCAGGAATGTTTCTTTTCTGGAACTGCCTCTGAGGCTTCTAATGTGTTTTCTGATAATTCTAAGGGCATGGAACAAGTTGTAGATGTTGTTATTCTTCTGAAGCAAAGATCCCCTTGCAGCTAAACTCGGGATCTTTTTACCTACCTCATCCTGCTAAAGCAAAAACTGGTGGAGAGGATGCTCATTTTATTTGTACCCTTACACCAGCAATCGGTGTAGCTGATGGTGTTGTGGATGGGCTGATCTTGGTATTGATGCTGGACTATATGCCCGTGAATTGATGTCTCACTCTTTATCTGCAATTCAAGATGAACCAAAAGGTTCTGTAGACCTAATCAGGGTGCTGGAGAAAGCTTACGTGAGAACAAAAGCAAAAGGCTCTTCTACAGCGTGTATTGTTGCACTCATTGAAGGGGGTCTTTATGCAGTAAATTTAGGAGATAGCGGATTTATGTTGGTTAGAAATGGATGTGCTGTATTTAAATCCCCTTCACAGCAGCATGGGTTTAATTTCCCAAATCAACTAGATTGCAATAATGCAGGTGATTCACGTAGCTCTGCCATGGTGTTCAAAATTACTGCTCTACCTGGAGATGTCCTAATTGTCGGTACAGATGGGCTTTTTGATAATTTGTATGAAGAAGATATCAGTGGAGTTGTATTTCAGGCCATGGAAGCTGGCTTAGGGCCTCAGATGACTGCTCAGCGGATAGCAGAACTGGCACAACTAAGAGCAATGGATCTGCTCAGCGGATAGCAGAACTGGCACAACTAAGAGCAATGGATCTGCTCAGCGGATAGCAGAACTGGCACAACTAAGAGCAATGGATCATACTAAGTCTTTGCCTTTCTCTGATGGAGCTCGTGAGGCTGGATTTGATTACCATGGTGAGAAGCTGGACGATATCACTGTAGTTGTTTCTTACATAACAGAGTGAAATTGAAAATCCATACCATGTTGCAATATTCAGAGACACTATTGGAACAGAATCAACAGCTGGAGGAGAGTCATACAATACAACAACCCATAAATTCGAGGCATCGGTTAGAATTTTGGCATTTTGATTTGTGTGTAAAACAAAGACAGGAATGAGATGGCTTCAGCAGCATCTTGGGTCTAGCTTAGTTCACCTCAGTTAGATACAAGTGTTTTACTTTATGAAATTCAAATAGCATGTTGGAATCATTAACATTTATTTGATGAAGGATTTTTTTCTGTAAAAAATAAATTAAAAAAAGCACATGGAAAAGCATCAATAACTACAACATAATCCATGAAGCTGATCATGAATGCAACTACAATCCAAGGTGATCTGAGAAACAGATTACAGACTATGGTGGTGCTGAACAAGTTTCTGATAAAAGATGTGCGTTTTTATGCTCCCTCAGCTACCTAAAGTTACTTGGAAGAGCCTAACAGGGCATCCTAGTATTCATCCACAACATAAATTCTTTCTATGGTTGGCTCTACTAAAGAGGCTTGCTACAGTTGACAGATTACAGAAGTTCGGTATAGATGTTCCTCCTACAATCCAAGGTGATATGAGAAACAGATTACAGACTATGGTGGTGCTTAACAAGTTCCTGATAAAAATGATGTATGTTTTTATGCCCCCTCAGCTACCTAAAGTACCTTAGAAGAGCGTAACAGGGCATCCTAGTATCCATCCACAACATAAATTCTTTCTATGGTTGGCTCTACTTAAGAGGCTTGCTACAGTTGACAGATTACATAAGTTTGGCATAGATGTTCCTCCTACATGTGTATTCTATCAATCTGCTGATGAAACAAGAGACCACTTATTATTTGAATGTACTGTTACACAAAGCCTATGGCATAGGATGCTAATATGGGTGAGCATACAGAGAACAAATGGTACTTGGCAGGATGAAGTACAGTGGGTTGTTAAATGGGCAAAGAAGAAATCAGGAAAAGGGAGTATAATCAGCTGCTTGTTTGGTTTGGTGATATGGCAACCCATGCTGATACAGATGACACAAAATTGTTGACACGGCATACAACAACAAGAACCTGATCAACAAGTTTGAAAAGGGAACTATGAAGAGTAGAGTAAATAGTCTACTATTTTGATAGGCTATGTAAAAGGAGTCGAAATAATTTTCGATTTTCTTCAGGTTATTTGATACATAGAGAAACAGTGGGTCAGCACTGTTTGCTTTTGTAATGAGCTAATTTGGTATAAGTAAAATTGTTTTATTTACCCCAAAAAAAAAAACAATCAAAAAAGAACTCTAGCTACAAGACTGAAGAGTCCCATCCGATTCGTCTAAAGTGTCGTTGCAGCCATTCTGAGATCAGAGAAATCATAATTGTCAATAAAAAGTTCATGCAGATCAAAAGCATCAGCATTTAAACTAGTTAAGATGGAACAAGATAGTACAACACAGTTACTCAGAGAAACAGAAGAACAGAGGACCTAATTCTTGAATTCCAAGAGTTCAACACAGAATGTTGCCCTCCTTCATAGGGACAATTTCTACATCAAGAAGAAAATGAATGTGCAATAAACTTTGATGACAAAAGGAAAGCATAGAGCAAAACCCCATCAATTGAATAACTAAGCATTACCAATAAAATTAATTAGCAATCAAGATATATCTAATTAAAGATTAAGAACTACAAAACCTACTGAAAAATGAGAAAGAGATCTAATATCTGCACTGTTAACTACCAATAGGAAGAATAAGTACGCAATTCGCAATGAAAACGAAAACAGAAACTAAAGGCAACTGGCACATTCATAAATTCAATAAGAATTCGATTAGACATGAGCAAAAACCTTGCAAGCAATCGCAATTCTCCGCCTCTTTACGAACAACATCAATCAACTCAGCGCCTTCAGTATAATGACCTTTCGCCCAGTTATTCCCAGCACCAGACTGCCTAAACACAAAGTTATCAAGACGGAAGATTTGTCAATACGAACCAGATCTGATACTATCCATAGTACCAAGCTCTAGATCCATAAGAACATAATCCACCAGAAGCTTCATTGAAATAAACATTGATACGTTCTAGCTGAAGATCGGACTCACCGGTAGGATCAACACTGTGTCCATCACAGATAACTTCCCAGAAAACACCAAGTTATCTCTCACGCTCCTATAACGGCTATATGGAGCGTTGTATTTTAAGTAGAAAAAAAAAGTGTGAGAGGTATTATTTTATTTATTTTAGTAATGAAAGCATTTTATTGGGCTATATTTTTTATTTTTTTTTGGTTTAAAGGAGCTATACAAACTAAACTAGATACGGGCTCGTGCTAATATAATATTATTTTACTTGTTTCAATTTATGTGATAATGATAAAACTAAGAGAACCAATTAACTTTTTATATGATTTTTTAATATTTTAAGTTGTTAATTGTTATGATTTATAGGACTATTAACTTAATTTTAAAGAAAACATTTGTTACTTTGTTTGTCCAAAATTATGCGGCGCATATGGAATTTTGATAGGCAAGCAAAATTTTACTTTTTTTTAAAAATATTTTAAGTTGTTAATTAATATAATTTTAACATAATTTTTAATTAATATATGTTACTCTCTAGTCTCTATGTCTCAATATATATTATTAATATATATATTTAAATAATCTTAAGGTGTTAATTATTGTGATTTTCGATAATATAAAAATACAAAATAACTACATAAAGTAAGACGTATTTAGCAAAATACACATCTAATTACATTTCTTTTGGTATATATATATATCAAATTGTAATAGAGTTTGTTAAGTTGTCTTCATCATCGAAAGAACATTTTGTCTCATGGCCGGGTAAATTACTTGTTAGTATATCACTTGTCAGAAATATTTCTTTTCAATGCCAAAATGTTTCTCTTCCAAACGCCAAAAGAAATCAATTTGGTTGTATTTTCTGAAAGATTAAGAACATATCTTACTCTCATTTTATGAAAATCGATTATGCGTTTA